ATTCAAACAAACTCCAGTACCACCAAAAAAAAAAAAAAAAAAAAAAAAAAATCTGGAACTAAATCCTGACTTTCCTCCCTAACCATGCTCTTTTTGCTCTCTTAAGGCTGTATTTTCTTATCTGTAAAGACCAGTGATCTCACTGGATAGTTATACAGGTTAGAGAGATAATGTAGCAGTGTCACAGCTCTTCTACATGGCTTTCCGGGAGTAGCAGTCTGACTCCAAAGGATATGTTTTTAGGGCAGATCTGCTGCAGCTGCAAAATTCTGCACTCCAATTCTTGCCGCTTTTCCTTTCACATGTCTTTTACATCAGGAACTTAGACTCTTAAGATTAGAGCACCCACCTCATGGCTGCCATCTACTGACCATGTGGTACTTGTTCCCTTACCACCAAGGAAATCACGGATGATCAAGTACAGCTTTTGCCCTGAGACACCTTTCAGAAACTCAAGGATATTGTACTGTTGGCAAGTCCTTACCTCTTTTAATGGAAGAATAAGTTTTGTAACCTGATCTTTTCCTACAAACTTGCCCAGGATTTCATAAGAATCATAACTCTTGCTTCTTCGTGCCTCCATGACTTTGGAGAGGATCTGCTTTACTTCCTTCTCTTCAGCAAGGGCACCAAACAATTCGTGGTTAAAGATCTTTGGAAAAAAGGACAAATGGCAATTGTGTGAACTCAACTTTGATAAAATCATTAGTCTGATCAAACCTAAGGAAAGCAGATTGGACTGGATTGAAGTGAGATGGAGAAATGTGTTAGATTTCACTTATTTTCAATATAGTTCAGGGATCAATTACCATGAAAGAAACACTTGAAGAGTGATACTAACGGGAAACAAAAGAAAAATGCTTCACAGATACAAATACAACTATTTGTATCTTTGTGTGTGTGTGTGTACATGTTTGTTTTAACATAGGATCTTGCCATGCAGCCAAGGCTGGCCTTGAACTCACGATCCTCCTATCTCAGCATCCTGAGGATTATAGGCATGTGCCTTCACACCTGACTTAGCTGCTACTTTTTTGTTATCACAAAGGAGTAGCTTAATGTCGCTTCAAGACATTTTCATACTTGCAACTGAATTATTAAAATTAACGTACATATTTGAGATTTTAAATTCGGGTCCCCATTTTTAAAAAAATAAATGAACCAAAGTAAATGGCAAATTTACTCTCTTCCTAAATTTTATCTCCCAAATTATATCACATGATCCACTTTTAGGAGTTAGTTATTTTCATAAAGCTCTGATTGAACATATTTTTATATGAACCCTGGCTACATCTCTGATTATTCCTTTAAAATGGATTCTCAGAAATAACTGAAAATCTTGGTAATTTCAAAAGCTGTTGACATGCCAACTTCATTCCCCAAAAGATTGAACCAATTTATGACCCACTAGCAATGACAGACTAGGCCCCTCGCTTGAGACTTAGCTTTTTAAACTTTTGTTGATCTGAAGACACAAGGCAGGACATTCCTCTCTTCTCTGTCTCTCGTTTTGCTACTGGCTGTCAAACCCAGGGCCTCGTGTACCCTTCTACCACTAAGCTCCCCCTTAGCTCCTCCTCCTTTTTAATAGGATATCATTATTATTTCCTATTTTGTGGACTTTGCCCATTTAAAAAACTGGAATTGATTCTGTAAATCTTACCTCAATCATTATATCTAAACAAGGGTCCAAATCTCCAACTTGCAGCTTGCTGGTGAGGCCCTGCAGCAGCATGTGAACAGTGAAGGTCAGCACATGGACCTAAATGAGACACACAGTAAGGACAAGAGTGGTCAACAGTCCCATCCTACAGGAAATGTGCTTGATGGAGAACTACAGAGACATTTGGAGTTTGTCTTTTCTTACTGGGAGAAGCTTTGACAAATGTCATCATTTAAAGATTGTTTAACCAAATGATTTCACTGTACAAAATATGTTCAGAAACACAATGGCATCTTAGAATCTACAATTATAGTTAAACTAATTTGTGATTTATACAGAAAAGCACAAAGGTCTTTAACTTTACAAGACAACTTGTGAATTAAGCAGCTTTCCATTGCTAGCTACAATCAAAGCTAGGACGTAAAGTGCTATGAGGGAAACAAGTTTTTGCCCTCAACTTTTTTTTTTTTTTTTTTTTTTTC